TGTCGTGTTGCCGTGTCATGTTGCCATGTCGTGTTGCCGTGTCGTGTTGCCGTGTCGTGTTGCCATGTCATGTTGCCGTGTTGCTGTGTGGTGGTTCTTACCCTCTCTCCACCAGGAACGAGTCCCTCCAGATCTTGGACTTGCGGTTCGGCTGGAACCTGCGGGGCGACACCACACACAGTTTGATTCCTGAGCTCGTCTCTGGTTCTACAAAGTTCTGAACTTTCGCCATCTGGTTCCACTTCTGCATGTTTGTAACGTTCAGGAACAACATTTGGGTTTGGAGCTGCAGCCAGAGAACAGTGGAGCCGCTGCAGGACCGGTTCTGCTCCACCGGTTCTCTCAACAAACAGCACAAACACAGAGACAAACACACAGCGTCATGGGATCAGCTGACGAAGGTCTCTGGTTTCTACTGTTGCATTCATGGGAACGTTTCGTGGGTTTATTCTGGAACCAACAGGCTGAACAGACTTTGGTTCTTCTCAGCAGGTTCCAGGTGATCTCGGCTGTTCACACCAGAAGACAGAAACGCCCCATCGCTGACATCCACCAGGAACTAAAGCCTGGTGTTGGTGTGTGTTAGTTACCTGTTGGCAGGTTTGTCGGTGTCCAGCAGAGTCAGGATCGACTTCCCGTCCATGTCTGGAGGCGTGTCGAGGCCGGCGATGTCCAGGATGGTCGGAGCCAGGTCAATGTTCAGAACCATGTGTGGGTTTCTGACACACAACAACACACAAAGCTGATGTACAGCTGATGGACTGAACCTCCTCAGATGTCTTTAGTTTGACACAAAGTCCAAACAAGGAACATGAAATCGTCCAGTTTGATCGGCTGGACTCAGATTATTTAGAATTGTGTCACAAAACTCTGTTGATGATCTGATCCGATCAGAGAGCCTCCATCAGTCTCAGACTGAACACATCTGCATCTACAGCAGCAGGAGGAGGATCACATGTAGACACTGAAGAAATATCAGTATGCCACAGATTCTTTCAGCAGAAACACTGACAGAGACGCTTCTGATCTAACGTCTGTTTTCCAGCAGCTGAGTCTGTAACTCTGAAGGAAACAAAGAATAACATCTGACTGAAGTCATGTAGTAAAGAGGTAAACCGAGTGAAGCCTTAAATCCCAGACTGGATGAAATCCTGTTTCTAGGTGTTTATAGTGAAATGCAGGAAACAGGAAGTTTGATGTGAAGAAAAGCAGCTCAGAACTCGTGATCGACTCGTGGATCAGTTGAGTTAATCTACTTTAACTCTCTGAAGGATGTCATATTCTGAAGCTACTGGTTCCTTGATGAACAGGAATTATTACTGGCAACCTCCAACCACAAGGGGGCAGATAACCTGTTAGCAACTAGGAGAAAACAAGCTAACATGTTAGCAACTAGCAGAAAACCAAACAACATATTAGCAACTAGCAAAAACAAGCTAGCATGTAAGCAGTTTGCAGAAACAAGTTAACATGTTAGCAACTAGCAGAAACAAGCTAGCATGTTATCAATTAGCAGAAAACCAACTAATATGTTAGCAATTAGCAGAAACAAGCTAACATGTTAGTAACTAGCAGAAAACCAACTAACATTTTAGCAACTAGCAGAAAACAAGCTAACATGTTAGTAACTAGCAGAAAACCAACTAGCATGTTAGCAATTAGCGGAAACAAGCTAGCATGTTAGTAACTAGCAGAAAAAAGCTAACATGTTAGAAACTTGCTGCATGTTCCTATTGCTGAATATGAATGAATGATGAATGAATGAACAGGTGTTCTGGCGGCTGGTTGTTGGTTAGACGCTGTGCTTCTTACATGCTGCCTTGCTCCACGTTGGGTCCTCGGATGTAAAACGGAACTCGGATGTCGAACTCGTACGGCATCGATTTACCTGCAGACACACAAACACAGCGGTAACACAAAGAGCTGTGAAGATACAACCAGGACGGGTTCTCTGGTTCGAACTGATGCTGGACAACAGAACCAAGAATCACAGATGTTTCTGGAGTTAAATGACACCTTTGTGTTCGTCCAGAAAACGTTAACTTTGATCATTTAGATTTTAAATCACCAGTTTTTCCAGTCGTCCATGTTTATTCGTCCTCAGAGCTCCAGTGAGTCTCTTTGTCCTTTTATTGGCTGTTGTGTCTCTTTTGGCTTATTTTGACTCTCTCGTGGTCCTTTGTGTGTCCTCGCTGTTCTTTTGTGTATTGTTGTGTGTTTTTTTCCCTTAATCTTAGTTTTCTGTGTCTTTGGCCACAGTTTGGGTTTCTGAGAGTTCATTAGCTTCCCATCGTTGTTGGTGTCTGTTCAGTGGACGGTCCAGCCTTCATCAGAGAGGCTGCTGCAGCTCTACCTCCACAGAACCTATCCTGATAATGCCTCAGGCTGGAGATGGTGGTGGAGCTGCCTGGGAGGACGACTCACAGGTCGGGTTCAGACTGGACTGGAACAAGCAGCAGAACTGAACCCTCCTGGTTACAGTAAAGCTAAAGCACAGTCTAGACGTTTGGTGCAACGTGATATAAAGTCAGACCTTCGTTGTGTGACCCGGTTAGTGTCGGAGCCACTGGAGGAGACTCGCTGACAGAAGTGTTTGCTACACGAGTCCATGTTGTGTGTTTGTTGTTTTGTGTTGTGATCTTACCTTTAACGAGGCCGAACTGCCCGATGTGGTAGCCGTGGTCAGACGTGTAGATGATGTAGGTGTTTTCCAGCTCACCTGTTTCCACCAGCATGTTGTACAGCTGAGACACACACACACAGACACACACACAGACACACACAGCTTCAGGTTGTGGTCAGAATTAAAGTTGTGGTAACTTTCTCTACAGGTAAGCTTTGTGTCACCTGATGCTCTCCAGGTGGGGATTGTGTAGCTGTCTGCAGCTCACCTGTGTGTTACCTGGTTGCGTTACCTGGTTGCGTTACCTGGTTGCGTTACCTGGTTGCGTCACCAGGTTGCGCTACCAGGTTGCGTCACC